AGATAAACTGAATACAAACAAAAACAGTCTGATGTGTGTGATGAGCGTCTCATAATCACACCAAGCTCCCCCCAACACACGTCTCCTTTTATCAAAGCAGTGGCAAATTGCCAACTTTCTGCTGCAGAAAATTAACAAAAAAAGAGAGAGAGAGAGAGAAAGAAAAAAACTTGCTGAGCTCAGTTTGTACTCCAGAACACACACAAATGTTCAGARCAACAAAGTAAACAGACGCCTCCGACACATGCAGCGTCCCACCCCTGGCTGCAAAGGCGAGGGGATGGATGATGGATGGAGAGACAACAGAAGAGAGGAGCTGAAAGAAGCTCACTGAGCAAATGAGAAAAGAGGAGTTGAGAAAACAGGAGTGATGACCGAGAAGACTGCATGGGTCTGATCTGCACTAAACTGCCTGTTCAGATGTCTCACACTGTGYGAACAACAACAATAACACAATGGCTAAAGGGATGGTTTAGAGTTTCTGATGTGGGGTTCTAAGGGTTAAATACAATTAATATCTTACCTGTTGTAGACAGGTCTTTTAACAACCTCAGTTTGGAGACATGTTTTCTTAAAACTAAAGTGAATCACTACCACTAAAACACAACTTCAATCTCAAAAGGTTTATAGAATTAAAAAAAAATGTTTTGAACCTTTATACTATTAGACACTTATTTTACCAGAAATGTCCTGCTAGGAACACCACAGGCTGCACAGGAAGTGCTACCCTTAACTGCTGCTGCCATTTGAGCTTCCAAGTAATCTCAGACTACTGGGTAATGAAATGTGACACAAAATAAATGGTAATGTTTTAGGATTACAAAAATAAAATTTGCATGAACTGCTATGAATTGTTGAGAATAAAGTTCCTTTGAAATGATGACTCTGCAGGTTTGCTCTTGGCCCTGATCTGCATAACTATTAGCTCATCGACTGAGTCAGAATTAACTTCTACTTCTTCAAACGGAGGTCATTCAAGGAGTTATCTGCAGTAGGTAAGATGTTAATAGTTCTTAAGTTGTCTACAGAACCACACTTCAGTGGATCCGAACTATTGCTGTAAAGGAGACTTATCCTGCTCTTAAATCGCTTAGCTGGGGTCTTTATAAAGCAGAACTGCAATACTTTGATCTAATTTCCTCCTTACTGTAACTCCACAAGCCCCTTTCACCCCTTTTCTGAGGGGTGTCTCAGACTCAACTTATTTTGAGGCTGTTTCTTTAAATCCAGACAAGATGCTTCACACTCTGCCCCCCTCCATCTTACAGACCAATCCATTCTAGTTTGATAGAGGGGTCCAGGACTATATAGCTGTGCAGAAATGCTTTATTTACAATTGAATTAAAAGATGTCAACAAGGRAAGACTTGTCCAACTAGCCTCATATGTGTTTATGAAGTGTTGTTGGTAAGTCCAGACCTTATTTGGCAGTTCTGTCTCAAATAATTGGATGTAATAGTCAGAAAAGAGAGAAAACTGAACAGGTTGAAAAATGTCACCCAAGCAGAATATAAAGATATSTGTGCAACACCGGGAGAAACTAAATTCAACATTTAGGCACTCCTAATGACTCCAACTGCACTACAAAATGCATTTAATGGCTTAAAAAAGTGGATTTTGCAAAATATGCCTCCTTTAAAGCTGACAAAAATGACAAAACATTCTATAATTTCATTTAATTTTTGTCTTAATAAACTAGTATCTTCAAGTGTTTGTGGTCTAACAATATAAGCATATCTGCAGGTGATTGTGTTTAGTTTTTAAACATTAACTTCATTAATTTAAAATTAAAATAAATGATTTTTTAACTCCAATTAAAAACAATCATATGCAAAGTCAGGATGTTTTTTTTTTAACCTTTTCTTCTTCTTTTTTAAAGCATGCCATTTTGGAAATGTACCTTGCAGAAATTTGACTTTGTTTTTTTTTTTTTTTTTTTGGTAATAGATTATGACATAGCTCGAAACCTCCCCTAGAGTGGTTCTAACTCTTGTGACTTCAGGGTTGCGTAAGGTAAAGTCACTGACAGTTACGGTTTGTTGTCCATGCAGCACAAACTTCTTCCCTTTGGCAAACACAAAAACTAGTTTAGGATTCCTTTTAAATATCTAGGTCACGGTGGGTAAACAAAGTGATTGATATCAGCAAACAGAAGTCAACTGCATTTTATAAATTCCTCTGGACTTCCTGCTGTCACACATTTAGCTCCGTAGCGTAGCTACTTACCTGCAGCTGCTTAAAAGGAAAAACCCTCCAGCTATTTAGAGTCCAACTGAAAGCATGGATGAGTCACCCCGGTAGCTGGTGCATGAATATTTGATTTACCATGTAATATATCAGTTGTAATTTTTTTTACATCATAATTACATGCTTTCTTGCTTGTGCTTATTTTATCTTTTGCCAAAAATAATCCTGTTTTTTTAGGTGGGGCAATAATTCTCATGCCCTTTAAAAAAAATCATTTTCACACAAATCAGGTTTCCCTTCACGTAAAATGGCAAAGCTCACAAACAAATCATCTTATGTGCCACTGCACATTTCCATCCTGACTTGTACACACAGACACACACACACACACACACAAACATAAACACATATGTCACAGTATCACATACGCAGCTACACCCAGGCATTTGTCCAGATGTGTGCTCACAAAAAAAATAAATAAATAAAATGCACAGAGCACAAACTCTATGAAATCCCTGGCAGATTAGTAGTTCTTATGTAAAATGGATCAAGCCAAACAGGCGGCAGCAGCCAGCTTGTTTGCAGGAACAATTGTCCCAAAACAACCTGTATGAAATGCCACCAATCATCAGTATCTATTAAAACAGCTGATAATGCAAAAAAAATAAAAATAAAAACTGTTGTGATGACCTGAAGTTGGAGCTTTTGTATGCATTTATTTAACTCCAGTGTTTTTTTTTTTAATTCATTTTAAAAGTGAAGTTTTCTGGCTCTCAGTGATTGCACATGTTCAGGAACATATTGAAGCTGGATCCCACGCAGAATAAAAATGCTCTCTGCTTATAGAAATGACGATTATGTTTTCTTTTGTTCCTTTCATGTCAAAGATCAGTTTTGCCGTAAGTTTGCTGTATTGTTTGAGTTTGAAGTCTGTTCAACAAACAAGTGCAAAGAAGGTGTCTTTTTTTCTGTTGTTATTTGACTAAATAATACGAGAAGGTGATATTTAAATCAAATTTCTGCCATAGAACATAAAGTTCTGGGGCAGGAGAACGCAGCCTTAAAGTGCAGCTAAATGGTTCCTGCTGTTCTGCACATGGTTCAGTCTACTTATTGCTGTTTTTGATGCATGAAGGGTTAAATAAGGCTCAAAATAGGTTCTCAGTTAGTTATTGCCTACCATTAAAAGGTGAAAGAAATATGTGCTTGTTTGAAAAATTTCTTATGAACTAGGTAAAAAAAAAACAATTAGAAAATAAAACCTGACTTTATATTGGCATTAAGTACATTTTTGTGGTCAGCTCAATTCTATGTGACTGCTGCAATCAAGAAACCTTAGGAAACACCAAAAATGGTTGAAATCTCTTCAAAAAAATGAAATGTTGTATAATGCCGTTACAAGCTTTGGGCAAAAATGGCCACAACTCTGTCATTTCCTCAGCATCTGATGATCTTAGATTGAAACTCTGGCATGAAGGACATGGGAGATGGGCATCAAGAAACTTACGTTGCTTTACCTTCATAAAACCACATAAAATGATCAAAATCTTTCCTTACGTTTCATAACTATTTGTTCTAGCGCATCACTCCAGTGCTCAGCAAAGTGGCAAAGCAGGACAGTGACACATCTGTCTCCATGCCACACATTTGTTCACAATCACTTCATTGCATTGGTGTGTATTTTTTTTTTTTTTAGTTTTTGTAGATGAAACGTATTAGCCTTAAGACTTTTAAAATATCCTCTGTGCATGTCAGGATGGATTTTTCTATTATTATTATTATGTCATTTGACTGGTTGCCCACACAACAAACTTAAGCTTGCCAGTACAGCAGGTGAAACTATATCTGTGGTTGTTGTCATATAAATGATTACGACAAATCAAAAATATATTTGACTTCCCTTCTTATAGCCGCACAAATGTAAAACCATAATTTGGTTCATATACAAATACAGTTTTTTGAGTTTGTAACAGTGAAGTTGTTTCTATGTTCATGTAAGTGTATGTGACTGCACTAAAAAATCTATCTAGAAAATATATATATTTTTGATTTAGGTGCTGATTTGAATTTGAGAAGAAACAATGGGTCTTTGTTGTGACCATGAAGGATGGATTCTGGCTGCAGCATCAAACCTTAGTTAAACTGCTGCTGTCCTGAGCCAAGGCCCATCCTCACCTTATCATTTCCATCTTTTTCTGAGACACCAGGACTCCTCCCTGCTGCACCTCAGGAAAATCACTGTCATGAAGCATGAACCTCGCGCACTTGCAGCTGCAGAGTCCACAGAAGGACAACCAGACAAACTGATACGWGCTAAAATACTCATGTACACATTTTTTTTCCCCCTGCTTTAGGAAAAATCCATTCCACAATCACTTTAGAGGGTGGGACAAACGCTTTAAATGAGCTCCTTGCTGCTGTCTCATAATTACCTCAGTCTGKGTCTCACAGGCTGAAGGTGAAGCTTCATCAGATTGAACCATTTTAGAAAATGAAATCATCAATAATAATTCACAAGTGAAATTAACCCAAACTCACGAGCTTTTCTCTTTTTACTCCAGCTCTCAAACTGACATTCTCCTCTTTTGGCTGTATGATCATTTTATATTTGGCACAGATAATTGAGAAGTTAAAAAATATATAAAATAAATAAACAGATGTGTTGATTTTCCTTCGTGATGTAGTTCACTTTTATCTCAGTGATGTATTGGAGAGCCTCTGTGCGCATCCCTGCCTTTTAAAGCCCATGTCTGTTGGTTTCCCCTCATCGATTAGAGGTCATCTGTTTTCCCGGCACCATCTCGCCGGTCTTACCTCAGCGTTTCCGAGCCGCAGACGGGTCGTTAAAAGCGCAGCCAGCAGCAGCAGCAGCAGGGTCCAGGACCTCATGTTTCTGCCCAGCCTGTGGAGCCGCGAGCGACCGGCTGGGCATTGAGCAGCCAGGAGTCCAATCCCACGGCCGAACCGAGCCTCGTCCCCCGTGCTTTGGTCGCAGTGCACTCCCTGCTGTAGCTTAAATGTATCCTCCAAAATGTGTCACTGTCAGTAAGAGCTGCTGGTCCAAATGTTTGCTCTCGATGACTCCGACGCGGGRCAGACGTCTGCTCTGACTCTTGTTTTGAAAACTCACTTAAGGGCAGCCTATATCACAGGCTTGAGCAGTGCGCAACGCGTGCGGCGTGACACACAATATGTCAGTCTCTGCATGCACAAACTCTCAACAGGCTAGGTCCAAAATCAGTTCAGAGACTAATAATAAGCCAATCCAAGCAGGGAATTTAAAATCTTCGTCAACGTGTGCGCAAAGGTTTTGCATCCTATTTCCGTAAAAGATAAATCCAGAAAAAACAGGGCAGTTTTTAGGATTTCGCTACAAAATCCCATATCAGATTGTTGAAAATCCAACTTTTCTGGTCAAAACGGGAGCCTCTCATCTCCAAAAAGTCTGCGCGTAAAAGCTGGTTGCGCTTCGTGCGTAATTCTCTATTAATGTCAGAATATTCCCGCACTAATGCAGTTTATTGAMCTGCAAAACACAAGAGTCCAATCTAAATTTGTCTCAGTAGTATCGGCCCCCCTGTAGATCCCACGCTTGTCCTTTTGGCTCCGATCAGGACTTGGATCATGTTGTTCTCGCCTCGCGCGTCTCTCTTCTCTGGTTGCGTTCTGAGCGCTGAGCGCCTTCCAGCTACAGCTCGGCCTCCCTGCTCAACTTTTATACATCAAGCTACACATGGAAAGAGACTTTTCCGGAAACAGAAAAGTGTGCTTTCAAAATATGATAAAGATGGAAATGTGATAAAACGTTACAACTTAGAGGAAAAACTCTGGATATGACAAAACAGGCGAAATTCCAAATATATTGGAATGTTTGTTAGGCAATACAGTTGTGTTAAATCATAAATAATATACGGGTGCAGTAGGTTATTAAATTCTACAAATTCTAGGAGTAATCTATTATTTAGTTTCAGTGTWTAGAGGTGACAGTGTGGAGTGTGATAAACTGACGTTGAAGGAATTCGTTGTTTTATTTTGAAACATTTAACCGGATGTCAATTTTGAGATTAATCTTGTCCTTCAATTTGAACCTAACCCCCCCCCCCCCCCCAAAAAAAAAAAAAAAAAAAACTTCCCGGTCTTTGACTTTTGAAAGCAGATATTACCTCCATATTGGGTGCAAAGGAACCTAAGACCCCCGTGACTTCTTTTAGACCTCTTGTTTATTTAAACTGTGTGTTGACACTTTTCTTTATTGAAAAACAATGTAAGAATTAATAATTTTACCTGAAATATACCGGAAAACACCTTGAGATTTATAATCCCACTTACATTTTTTTGTTGACATTTTCATTATAGAATTGATGATTTTGGGTGTTGAGACCAATAATTTGTTCATATTAAAGATCTGACTTTGTGTTTTTAATTATATGATAATTTAATGTGTTTTCCTTAAATGCATGAGGGGAAAAAAAAAAGAACATTTTTTGTTGGTTGCAATTTCAAACACTCAAAGCATTAAAGGCCCTTCTGACAAAACTAGAACACAAGTTATGTAATCAATAAATTCATCTTTTCATTATTAAACTATGCTCTCTTTCTTAGGATTTGTTGTAATCTGTTCGGATTATGGCTTGGTTTGACTGATTGAGACCAGCAAACGGGACAATCCAAAGATAGAGAAGAAAGTTTGAACAATTACAACCTAAATCGCACTGAATGCTAACTCATCTTCTTCAGCTTCAAATTTATTGTTACTTTTTCAAAAAAAAAAAAAAGGATTAGATGATGTAGAGTTCCACAGAAATATCTGGATTAAACATCAATCAGTTTGGTTTATTGTTGTTTCTTTATTTTTTTTTTCATGCAGCACCAACAAGCGTAGATGTCAGTTTTATTTCTGAATGTGAAACATATGCAAATAGAATTATCTTTGACCTGTATTCACCACAGTGTGACAAACTAACAGAGGGAGCAAACTGATGTGTATCATATATTTGTCCTTATTTGTGTCAGGGATCATTTGTTTTGCAAAAGATACAGATTTTGGAGGCAAATCGTGGACATCGTGTCAAGATTTCTGGATAACTTCTTTGCATGTCTGGGAGAACTGCTGTCACCATTAGACCAGAAAGATGTATTTATAGGAGCATTGAATATTATCCAAATGTTGTTGAGTCAGCATGGAAATGATGATGTTTTATTGTCCAAAGCCAAAGCCAGCGGCATTAAAACGTGAAAAAAAAAAAATTGATTTTTATCAGAGAATCACATGTGATGTAAATTTTTTGCCACCAGCAGGTCCCTTTGCTTGTTTATGTAGGTCAATGCCTCTTGGCTTGTTATTGTTAAAGCTAACAGTTACACTGACTGTCACCAAGTCACATGAGGCCAGGTGAAGAAAGGACATGATATTCTAGTTTCAAGAATGCATTCAAATTACGGCTGCAAAGGTCACACGTATTTTTTTGTTTGTTTTTTTGTTTTGTTTTGTTTTTTTTAATCTCCTGCAGAATTTATTTATCTCATTGACCAATCCTGCAAAGGTTTTACCTGTTGTGTGGCAACCTGTAAGAAATATATTTGTTTTGAACCACAAAACAAACCTGTTCTCATTTCTAAAGTAGACAAAGCTTTCCAGGAAGTGCCATGTTTTGTTTTGAGGTCAGAGGTTATYGTGGAAGTTGAGGGTCAAGATGGTTTCTTACTTTTCTGCAAGGGGAAGACGGAGGAAGGAGGCATGTGTGGGACTACTTMATGCACAAATATCTAATAATGCAAACCCTGTCTGTTTGCCTTTACAGTAACATTAACATTTATGTAACATTATTGGTGTCATGATTTTTTTTTTCATTGCAAAATCATTTCACTGACATTTTATAATTATTTGCAAATACAAATCCGCATCCAAATTTAGCACTTCTAGTCTGGGCCTCTTGTGATATGGATTTTGTGATATTTCTGCCAAAAAGACCATGCAATGTGAAACTGTTGACAAATGAAAACATTTATAAAATGACGTTTACTTATACCACCTTGGTCATAGCTACACTCAAATGAGTTGTCACTGTGACAACTATTAGTGAATGTCATTACTGAGAGAATCACCAAAACGTCTCAAAATGTTTCTCGGCTTTCTCACGTGAGYCCCAGAGACTCGTTGTCTTGTAGAATTATTAAAAATTGTGTGACAAATTGTCTCTCCAAGTCACAGAGTCATTGCAGGCGTCTCAAACCTGTCTTAAAGCTTTCTCAATTTAGTTTCTGTGAATTCAAGATCAGTTCAGCACCTGCAACCGAACTCCCCTTTAACAGATACCACCAGAGACTAAAGGTCAAGATCTAAAACCCATGCATTTGATAAATAATATTTTGTCTAAAACTGGTTCCAATCTTCCAGCCATCCTTTAAAAATTCCAGTAGATTAAAACAAAAGTCTGAGGATGGCTGCAAACATGGGTACAAAGTGAGTCAGGGTGAATATGATGTGAAATAATGTGCTTGATCTAGGCCAAGGGTCTGCAACCTTTTGATCAAAAGAGCCATTTCTGTTACTTCTCTCACTAATAAAATGTGTTCAGAGCTGCAAAACAAGCTACAACAGTGATCTTCAACTAGGGGTTCGTGGTCCTCTTCGAGGCCTTTTCAGGAACCTTTACGGCCAGTGGAGGTGACATTATATAACTAAAAAATATATTGTGAATTTTATTATTTATTATTATTTTGCACGTAGGGACAAATAAAGACCATATCCA